AAAATAATAGAATATAAATAAAACACATTTCAATTCTCTCTGTATATTTCTCTTTACAGATAAATCACTAAATAACAAGCTGGCGAGATATTTATGCAATTGTCCTCTATTTTCCATTCTGCAAATCCATATTCGGAATTCATGAATTTAACCGTAAGCTTAAATATTCATTTCATTTTGTATTTTACTGTGCTGTGCTCTAAAACCGCGGAATTGGTGTGCGTTTTGCATTTACAACGAAAATCACTTTTCTAAGTACTAGTGCCGCAGGAGATAGTTGCATTCGCCGAAATAAACCCCTGCTGCCCAAGTGCTTATCAAAGAGATTTTATTGTCAACATGGTGTGCTTCCATTGGAAACCATTTAACGCGGATTGTGGCTTTGTGAAATCGTGGCAAATACTCCAAATAATTAATGTTTTATTATTATTGTGTATGTGTTAGGAATTCAAACGAAAGTAAAAAGAGTTTCAGACAATTTATTATGGTATAGTGATATAAAAATAAATTAAATTAATTGGTAAGCTAAGAAATATTTATTTTTGTAATAATAATATTGTAGTATAAAATTTAATATTGTAAGTATGTATACATATTTAAATTTTAGTTACCTAAATGTTACTTTAACAACAGCTCATATAGTTTGAATGCAAGAGCAACTCGATATTTAAGCGAACAGCTAATTCTTAAACCTCAAATTCCATTCTGTATGTAAATAATCAAAACGTCAGTAACAATAATAACAACAACTGCAACTGTATCTACAGTACAGTAGGTACATAATACACAATAACGAAGCAATTAGGACTATCCTTGAGAGAAGTGGTTTATCAATATCTGCGAAAATCTAAGCGAAACACCAAGCACCGCCGCACCTAGAAGAGGTGGAATACTGTTGAATCTGCGCAAAATGGACAAATGTATGCAATTAAACACACAAATACGAGTATCTTAAAGCTTGCAATGCATATGTAAGTATCTCAAATAACACATAAGTACATTTCACTACACGTACATGCAATCATACTTACACTTAACGCGAAATGTTTAACGAAAGGCGTAATCTCAGTACCAGGACAAATATCCTTAGCGTACGAAATGGAATTAATTTCACTTTGTCGATTACTTAATTAGGCAATTTGTATGTGTTGTACCGACGGCGTATACAGCGCATAACAGCAAAAACAGAATGATTATACGCTGCACAACGATAACAACAACAACACCAATAACAAAGTTAAGTATTTGCTTATACCGCAAACCGTGAAGGATATTACGGGAATTCCTTAATATTTACAAGAAATTTAAATAAAACCTTACTTCTGGAGAATAGAACTCCTTATAGTGCAATGACATGGTATGATCGTTTACATTTGTTTAGGTAAATATTTGCTATGCGCGCTGCATTCGACTGACTTCGCATACCAATAGGTTCTGCAGCACCATTTTCACACCCCAGCATCTTAACCCTGCATATCCACTAAACTAAACTGGTTGTGGTGAACTCTGAAGGAGCCTGAATTAATCTGAAATGCCAATTAGTGTACACGCAAATAAAAATAGACAAACTCAAGTAGTACGTGGCAATTGGCTGAGTGCGTCTTAGTGAATTGATAATAGAGTACTTGAGTGTACCTGTAAAGAAATTCTAGAAAATCTGTTTATTTAAGTTTTAAGAGAATTTAAATTTACTTTATATACATAATAAAAGTTTTTGTATAACTATTATTATGCAAATGATAGATGACAGAGTAAGATTCAAATGCTCATATAAACAAGTAGGCCATGTTAACCTGGAAGTTGCACATGATTTAAGTGCTTTCAGTGTGTTACTTACAAGTTGAAGAAAGTAGAGGTAAGCACTTCTCTTAATGGGGTCTAAGGTAATATATACCGATACCGGCAGGGACACATCCTGGGAAGCACCAGAGCGTCTACACTGTCAGCTTTCTTGTACCCTTCGATATTTCTATGTTCAGATGAGGGTGATGTTAGTCAACCGATTTAGTTAGTCGATTGTCTCTCTACATTCTTTTAATATCTTTGATTTTGATGTGAGGAATTCAAGGACTTTGATTGCTGCTTGGCTGTCAATGAAAATGGCAATATTACGTTTGCCCTTAATGTGACTTGCAATCTGTAAAACTGTGGTCTCATTAGGTAGCCTAAGAGACTTGTTTAGGTTTTCAGTTGGCGGGAAGATCCCTGCTTCTACTCCAGATATGAGTAAACTTTTATATTATATATTTAATTATGTTACTTAGGACACCGTATTATTGTTGAATGCTGCTACAAACATTTAAAAACAAAATTGTAGAAAGTTGAATTATTATTATTAGACAATATTATTATTGTGATATTATAATAAATTCATTAGATTTCATTATTTTGACATTGTTTGTTATGTTACTGAAATTGGTAGCTATTTTTAAATGGACTGACGCTATTTTAACATCTAATTTTCGCAAAATGTTCGTTATTTTCAGATTTGAGTTCAGTTCAGTTTAGTTCGCTTTTGTGCAGCATGAATTTTGCACCCATCCATACAAAATCTTTTCATTCCGCAATCATACAAAATCGTAGCATATCCAAAGGAGCAAATTTAACAAGTTTGGTACGTGAGGATAATGCGAAGCTTGCGTGCGAATTATTATCATCTTGAGTGAAGCATTTTCTCATTTTCTTATTTTTCAGGAATATTAAGGATAATTTCACATTTGTAGCTACAAAATATTCGTTATTGTTGTTGTTGCAGTTGATGTTGCTGCTATTATTTTATACACACTTAAGATTATATACGCTTTTAATAACCAGTGTCATAGTGTCACAAAATATGCTTTGAGAGACAAAGGTCAGATTGTTTTTTGTTATAACTAAAGTTGCGTGCTTTGCAAGGATAATTGTAAAATAATGTTTTAAAAAAACTTGCTGTTTTATAACAAATTTTTAGTTTTATTGAAACTTTATTTGACCGTAAAATGCAACTTCCCTCTTTGGTTTAGTTGATGTACTGCTCTGGCTTGAATGCACACTGTTTGCATTTGTTTTATTATTATTTTTTGGTTATTTTTAGTAATTGCTCTGCTGTGTCTTTGTTGCTTAATGGAAATGAAGTTTTAAGTAAACTTTAGAAGAATTACGTGCCACAAAAAACACTACACACAAAACTATTATTTTGTACTTAAGTCGAGGGGAACGCTTGGGTCAGTAATTGCAATTCATTTTAGTAAACTTTGATTTTGTACAGATTTTTATTATTTTTATGGTTGAAAATTAAAATATTTATTTTCTGAATGTAAGCACGTCTTCAACAACAGCAATTATAGTTTAACTCTTATATTTTTAAAATGTAATTATATTTATGTACAACTTTTACGCTTAAAGAAATATTAATGGTGAAATGTTTTCAGTTTCGCATTAAAAATGATCCTTTCTGAAATGCTCTTAGCTCTTATATTGAAGCTATCAATGATTTAATTTCCGCTTCTTTCTACTATTCCCATTCATGCTAATAATTAAGGGAAATTAAAAAACATGGATGGAATAAAAAAAAAAGAAACCAATTGCTCTCCGTAACATTACCGGTTCAGCTCTCCAACGGAAATTCGTTTGTTGAGTTCAGCGAACAAAGGTAAAAGCGTAATTTTTTTTATTTATTTTATAGAATTTAACAAAAAATGTTGTATATTTGTCGAGTTATATAAATTCTTCAATAAATTCTACTCACTCCATCCCAGCACAGGCCCTTAAATGTTTAACGTAGATACATTTTTGAAAATGTTCATATGTGCTTCGGTAT